CTTCCTGTGTTTCCAGGAATGGACCACTCTGTTCTCAAGGTGAGCATGTCAGATCAGACTTAAACTGGTTCAGTAACTGCAGATGCTGTTCAGAAATAGTGCAAGGAATTCTGCTGAAGATGACTATGCAGATGGACTGTTGGTGGGGAGTAGGTGATGCTTTGTGATATGGGGAGAAATCTTGCAGTTATCTTTCTCACTTTTTAACTCTTCAATAGAAATATTAAGTGATTTGGGGAAAAAAAATAGCTTTGCAATAGTAAACAAGTTTTCAAAACTGCATAGGCTTATGAGGAATTTCTGAATTGATTTCAGGCCTGGGGTTTTTATTTCTATAAATTTGAGTGATTTGCCTTGATTCCAGAAAAGTCTAAAAGCTGCTTTAAAAACGAGCGCTTCTCTTTATTTTGTTTTTTAAAAATCTTTTTAGGCCCAATTGCGGAAAAGACAAGAGTCTGAGACTCCTGGTGAATTAAGTTCTGCCCAGCGGTTTAAATCCCCTAAACCACAATTGCAGCATGGAGTTCCTGGTAGCAGACTACTGCCCTCCAGTGTAGAGAAGGAGGACAGGTGAGAGACTTCTCTCCCTGAGAGAGTGCTAATACTCATTCTGGTGAATAAATAATGTTAATCTTCCTGAGGCCCTAGAGGAAATGGTATATTTCTTTTTTTTGTTTCTGAAATAAGCTTTCATAATTAAGGAATAAAGAGTATTTTTGTATACCTTAGGTCAGAAGAAAAGTCTCCTCAGTGGCTGAAGGAGCTGAAATCAAAGAAGAGACAGAGCCATTATGAGAATCAGGTTTGAAAAGGTACTTTCTGAAAGAAAGACGCTTTTTGCTAAGTGAAAGCGTGCCATAAGGGCTGTTTTAGATGAAGACGTGGTGTCCTTCCCATTTGGTATAGTAGAGGAGGGTATAAGGACACACTCTTTGTGACTAGTGCTGTGGTTAGTCATGTAGCAGATCTATTTCTAATGCTCAGAGCTTTCAAATAAATGAGAATGATAAAAAAGACATGGAAAAGATTTCTTCAATGTGTCAGTGTTACAATTCTGTAAGCATAAACATTAAAGCAGGCCACTACTACGAAATGTACATCTGGGAACAAAAGATGATTCTGGGCTGAGGCAGAGCTGTGTTCACAGGCAGTTAGTGCACAGGTGATACAGATTCATTTTTTTCTCGGCAGACATTTTTATTTTTACCGTACTCAATCCATTTGGGCTGCCGTTTTGTAATGCTTCCATTAAGCAAGAATGAGTCTGCCATTGAAACACTGCACACATTTTGAAAACTTTGGACTATGCTATTTTAGCAATATTCTAGGCAGCTCTTGGGCATTTAGGATACTAAATAAGTTGAGACCAAGATGACCCTGCACCAGTAGCATGCATTGACTGAGACTTCCTTGTTACAGGCGTTTATTCGTGTCTGGCTACTTCATTAACCACGTCACACTGAGTTATTTCAATAGCTTCTGTTTTGTCTTTCCAGATAACGATGATAACTAGGAGACGATATAGAAGTTTAACAGAAGCCTTAACTCATCTGAACCTAAAATTCACATGTCATGTTGCTGCTGTTTGCTTCCTGCCTCAACTGCTATGTGCATGGTGCCTTCCTGTTTTGTGGAGAAAGCTGCTTAATATTCATAGTCAAATACAAAGCTGTATCTTTTCAGATATGGGAGGATAGTCACTTTAGACCTACCTAGAAGAAGAGCCAGTGCTTCATAGTTAGCACTTCAGAGAGTTTTAAGATTGTAATGTTTGATCTAGGAGTGCTGTGCATCAGAAAAGTCCCCCTCACTGTCGAGCAAAGACTGTATTTCTACCTTATATGTTCAGCGGCTCAAAAGTATGACTTCTGGTAGACATGTCAAGTGTAAGGCTGGTTTTGTATTTGTTTATGAAAATAACAATTTTAATCAATTTTATCTTTTTTGTAAAAAAGAAAAAAGTAAGCTCCTATATAGAATGAAGTTTGTGCAAGGTGAGAGTGAAAGAACAAATTATGTTTACTGCCATACTGAAAAAGGAAACTTGATTATTTTTTGTAAAATGTATTTTTGATTGGCTTATATTTATGTGTGATCTGCTGATCTAGCAGACGAATATAATTTTTAGATGAACAAAATGTTAATTTTTGTCATTCTTGAAATGGTATTCTGTGTTTTGTCAGCATGTGGAATAATTGCTTCATTGGAACGTCTTTCCTAAAAAAGGATCAAGCAATAATGTCAACCAGTTCTCTTTAAAAATAAATGTAAATACTGTTTTTTATTACAAAAACGGAAGGGAAGAGGGGAGGATGTTAAACTCATATCAGGGTTCCAGTTAATTACTGAATGTCACTTTAATAGTAGTTTGGATAGTCCCACTTCATATTTTTATTCATTAATCTGTAAATACCTGTTTTACGTTTTTATTTCTATGCTAATTTTGCGGGATAAGCTAAATTTGTTTTTCAGTTTCTCAAATGAATTACCTGTCATCTTTTGGTAAATCTGTGGTTATATTAGCAATGTAGATAATCTCCTGCATAACACTGGTGTTCTGAATATCACTGATATCACAAATATATTAATATCTTTGGCGATAGATTCTGATATATCAACCAAGATGTCCATTTAAGACACAGTTTATTCTTTTCCGGAACAAGTGCTCTTTTCAGAAAACTTTTAAAAATGTAACCCAGCAAGGGAATTTATTCTGTCATGTCAGTATTCCTCACAACTCAGCTAAGAAAGTAGCAACATGGGAAAATTGAGACAGAGTCAACTGAGTTCTCCTCATTTTCTCTTCTGGTACCCTTCTGTAGCAAAGGGTTTGGCCAGGGCCTCCTGCAAAGCCAACTGTCTTAAAGCCACTTTGACCAGCATGGCAGTGGAGGAGAGGCAGGAGTGAATACAGATTGCTGCCTGTTACATCGCGCTTCCTGTGCCCTGCTGATAGGGTTCTCTAAATATTCAAAATAAAGCACCAGCACTTGAACTCCTTTTCCTTATTTATGATCAGCATTTCAGAAAGCTTGATTTTTGTGGGGCTACCGCGAGGGTGCATGTGTTAACCGAAGTGGCGTGCCTGGTCTGCTGTCTAGCGAGCTTGTAGCTGCCAAAACTATGTGCCAATTCTCCTCATGGAGAAGTCGCAGATGAGGTGATTTTTTTACTCCCAGTCTGCTCTTAGGAAATAACAGCAGTATGTCAAGAGACAAGTCCCATATGCATATCTCTCTCCCAGATTCAGTTCCAAAGCAGTTCTCTATAGTTAATGGAGATAAAATGAGTATGTTTCTCTAGTTTAAAAGTCTTCAGTCGTTGCTTGCCCTAGTTCACATTAGAGCTGGTTTAGGGCCTCTTCTGCTACCAGTCAAGAAATCATCACCAAGATTTCTGCCGAGTATTTCCTTTTTATGAGGCTTGTTACCTAGGGAAATGGGAGATGGACTTCCATTTGATTGCCATTGACCAGACTATTAAAGAGCTACTGTTAACTAATTTTAAAAGGAGTTGCATGTATTTTCTTCCCTTTTCTTTAGATGATGGTAGAAAGGCAGCTCTTTTCTGAAAGCTTTGCATGTGTGTCTTTTTGGAGAGAGATGTATATTTGTTAAGACAGCATTCCAAGTGTGTCATCAGTTGTATACCATGCATGATGTATACACTTCAGTTAGTTTTAAGCAGCAATATTTGTAGGTGTGATAGAGGAATCATGATTGCTTTTCGTATCATTACTCAAGTCAAGTGGGACTTACTTTTCAAAGTATCTAGAAATCAGGTAAATTCCCCCTGCTTACAAGAATATTTACACAGGCTTAATTTTAGAATTCAGCAGGTTGACAGTGTCTCATTACCAATAGTTGGAGGATTTAATGCTTCTTGGTCTAATAAATGAAGACCAGAAATGATTTAATTAAACTGTAATATTTGCTCTGTGTGTGAGGAAACTGAGGGGAAAAAATATTAGGTTTCCACAAAGCCCTTTGAATGTATATGCATTTCCACATCTGCTTGGACAATGCACTGAAACTTAGCTGTATTTAGTAGTTTAACCTACTACTGAGAAATGTTAATGCTTAAATGTCTGATTAAAAAGCATCTTTAGAATGTTATTGAATCGGAAAGTGTTTTTTCTGCTCTATCATTTCTTATATATGAATTAAATATCTATTTCCTTATCTTCAGGTTCTCACTATGTAATAAGAGATCTATATATATGTTATTACTTCATAAATGATAGAACATACTGTAATACAAATTATACAATTTTATTTTAATTCCAAATACTGCTTGTTAAGTTTTTTCTTTTGTTGCCACATGTTATATTTGCTGTTAATATAAGATGGGAATGAGCTCTTAGCTTTAACACTTTCTTCAGATAAGCTTTTTCATTAATTATTGGAATCTGTTATAAGAGTGGATTTCAACTCTTATCCTAACAATGTTTAATAAAAAATTTGAGGGAGATACTGGCATTCCCTGTGGAATACAGTGTAGTAGAAGTGTTTAGTCTGCTACTTTAAGACTATTCTGCTTTTTTTTTCTTGCTATTTCTTCAAAAGCTGTATCAGTAGACCACCGTTTTTAAAAGTGAAAGTACATGATTTGTGGAATTTAGAAGTGTTTCTTTTCTGATTGCATTTTTCTCTTACTATTAACAGAAATCTTCCCTCAGTGTTAATTGTCATTTTTGGATATGTACAGTCCTTCTGTTTCTTTTTACTGCAACCTTCAGCTGTGGATTTCTTTATTTTCGTTTTCTGTTTGCAGATTCACCTTGTTAAAGCTTGTATAGCTTTATTTTAGTAGTTATTTACTGATTTGGTATTGCTTCTTTTGACTGTATAGAAAGATGCAGTATTTCTACTCCTCAGCCTTTGAACTCTGAAACCATTTTAGAGTGTGGTCTGATAGGTCTCAAGCCTCCCACCTTTATGCACACACAGAGGTTTTCCTTCACTCGGGTGTTTTGTTTGCAGACAACTTATTGGTAAACTATTGGATGCATTTTACATCAGATTTATGACTGCAAAATTAATCAGTCGTTTTATCTGGAGCACCATCATCAGTTAGGTGATAATCTTAAGTACATGTGTAAACATACTGAAATATGCCTCCTGTTTTAGGGTATTAAACTGAGGACGTGGTTTGATGTTAGCGTTACTTGGAGAGCTGATACACCAAAATATATTGGTGGGGATCGAAGCAGTTCCAAGACAAATATCATATAATATTTATACAGTCCTTTAAGAGTCTACACCCAGTGAAATGAACTTTTGTCTCTAACCCTTTTCACTTACTATGGGGGGGAAAAAAACACTATTACTGATACTACGATAATATTGCCCTTAGTATTGCTGCTTGTAGACAGCAGGAA